TTTCTTCCAAGTATCTGTCCAGTTATTTTTCTTCCCCTTTCTAACTGCATAATGCATGAGCTAGAAAGCTTCTTCACAGTGCCCGGTGACAAACTCTGCAGTTTCATGCTGGTTACAAGTTCTAGGCAGCCTGTGGCCCACCCGTGATTGACACTAATGCACTGATAGCAGTTTCATCTGGATGTTTCAGTTGTTGTGTTTATGGGAAGCTGGTCAGTAAAGGGAGCAGAAGCCATGTCACTGATATGTTTTGTCAATAATTCAGAGAGATCACTTCAAGTATGTTATTTTTGCAAACAGAGCTTTTTCAGATAAATGCTTTTCCAATTCCAAAGATGTTTTGACATGCTGGCAAATAAATCTCTACCTAGCTGTGAGTTTAAGTGGTATTCCTAACACTGTTGTAAGAATCATTTGATTTTTTTTTTTTTAAATCCTTTCTATAAATTGCAGTGAAGGAGAGGACCAAATAGGCTTTTTTTCTAAGCTGCTGTTCTAAACAGACAGACAGCTGAGGTGGGAGAAAAGACAGCAACCTGATACTTTTGATACTATTAAAAAGCATGGCTGACAAATCCATAAAAGAGAACTGGAGCCTGTGTCCCTCTTGTTAATTTGTGAAGTGATCTCTATTAGGCCTGTGCAAAACAACAAGTGTTCACTTTGGATTCGGATTTGGCTGATTCAGAGGGACAGTGATTCGATTTGGAGATTCACATCACTGTCCCGATTCATTTTGGCTGAATCTGATCCAAAGATTCGGCACCATTTCAGAGATTCGGCCACATACTAAACAGGCAGCAGTCCTCACCACGCTGGACACAGCTGCCTCCAGCTGGTAAGTATGTTGTGGTGGGCAGATGGGGGAGGGAAGAGGCATGGGGAAGGGAGGATTGGGGCTGGGGCTCGGACAAGCTGCCCAGTCAGGGCAGGGGGGCATGGGACGTAGAGGGTTAGAGGGCATATGATGAGGGCATGGCTGCACTGGGAGCAGGGGCCACTTGCTGCCACTTGCTCAGCTGGGGCAGGGGGGAGATGTGATGCAGGCACGGCTTGCTCCGGGTGGAAGGGGACAAGCAGCAGCACGGCATTGCCCCTGCTCCCAGCTCTGCTACGCCCCCACCCTGTGCCCCCCAATCCTGGCTGGGCAAGTGGCAGCAAGACATAGCCTGCTGCTTGCCCAGCTGAGGTGGAGGGGTGCAGGATGCGAGCACTGCCGCCACTTGTCCAGTCAGAGCGGGGGGAGGGATACGGATCCCTCCCCCCAGAGGGGGCAAGGGATACGGGTGCGGCAGTGCTGGGAGCAGGGGCTATGACCTGCTGCCACTTGCCCCCTTCTATCCAGAGCGAGCTGCACCTGCATCTCGCCCCACCCCCCTGCCCTGGCTGGGCAAGCGGCGGCAGGGCATAGTGCCCGCTCCCAGTGCTGCTGCGCCTGCATCCTGTGCATCCCCCTACCCTGTTCCCCAAGTCCTGCAACCCCCCACCCCTGCCCCAGATGGGCAGCTTGTCCCAGCCCCATCCCTCCCTCCCCCCTGCTCCTTCTCTCCCCCCTCCACCACAACAGACTTACCAGCTGGAGGCAGCTGTGTCCAGCATGGTGAGGACTACTGCCTATTTAGTCTATCACCGAATCTCTGAAGCAGTGCCAAATCTTTCCCAAATCTATTCAGAAGCTTCTAATTCAGTTCAGATCTTTTAATTGGTCTCCCGATTCAATTTGGATTTGGAGATTTGGCCGCCGAATTGGGCTGAATCTTCTCTGAATCAAATCGGCTACCAAAGCTTCACACAGCTCTAATTGCTTTGTTCTTAAAAACATTTGATAAGTCATGCCTAGCATTACCAGATGCTGTACAGCTTCCTTGTGCATCTCTTCCAATATACCTCTACCCCAAGTATTAAAGACCTTGAGTTAGTCCACCTTTGGACCACTTGTAAATTGGGGCTGCCAATTTGCTTGTGATGCTTCTGTGAAATATTTTAAATCAAGAATGCTAACTTTGGATTACTTTTCCTTTTGAATAGTCCAGGCAATAGAGGCCCATTTGTGTCTTACAAGACAGCATAGAATTTCTTTTATAGGGCTTCCGTGAGTTCTCAAAAGGAAATGAGTTTGGACCTTACCAGTATGTTTCAAATGACATTAAGCAATGGGATTTGAAGGTAAAAATTGCTAGAGAGAATTCAATCTGGATTTAATAACAAATTCTTACCCTCATTAGCTCACCATTTTAAGCATCAAAAATGGCAATCAGTAGGGCTGTGCAAAGCTTCAGGTGGCAATTTGATTCAGAGGAGATTCAGCCTGATTTGGTGGCCAAATCTGAATTGAATCGGGAGACCAATTAAAAGGTCCGAATTGATTCAAATCTCTCTGAATCTTTGGAAAAGAGAATCTTTGGAGAGCTTCGATGATTCGGGAAGTTTCCGGTGGCTGCAACAGGGAGCTGCAGCCAACTCTGAGCTAGTAAATACTAGAGGTGGGTGTGGGGGGGCTGGGGGAGAGGTGTGGGGACCATGGGGGGACCCCTGCCAGCTCACCCAGCCCCAACCCATGGCTGCCCCACCCACCCCAGCTCCCGGCCCTTTAAAGAAAAGCCCCGATGCTCACCGGGTGCTGCCAAGTAGGGGGGTGATCTGTGATGCCCACCCCCACTGCCCCATGCTGCATGGGGGGGCTCTGCACAAGCCCCCTGACTCCTCCCCTGTTCCCCCAACTCCCCTCACGGGTGCCCCTCCCAGGCCAGCTCCAGGCCTTTAAGAAAAAAAACCTGAGAAAAGCCCCGGCACTCACCACTCCTGCAGCAGCCTTGGGACTTGGGGGGCTCATGCAGAGACCCCCACATGGTACGGGGCAGTGGGGATTGTGCCCCCACCAGCAGGAGTGGTGAGTGTGGGGCTTTTCTGGTTGTTTTTTTTTCTTAAAGGGCAAGAGCTGGCCCAGACGGGGCACCTGTGGGGGAGGGGGGGGCTGGGGGAGTGAGTGGGGAGGTTGTTGGAGGCTCTGCACGAGCCTCCCACAGTGCAGAGCAGTGGCGGGCAGCAGGGATGTCCCCCCACCCACAACATCCAATGAGCCGGGGCTTTTTTTTCCAAAGAGCTGGGTGCTGGGGTGGGCAGGGCAGCCATTGCTGAGCTGGTGGGGATGGGCCTGGCTGATCCTGGTGGGGATGGGCTTCAGAGATTTGGAGATTCAGCAGCAGCCAAATCTCCGAATCAGATTTGGCCACATCGATTTGGGGAAAGTGATTTGAATCACCAAATTGAATCACTGCCCCCCGAATTGGCTGAATCGGAAGCGAATACTAGCCGCTTCGCACAGGCCTAGTAATCAGGTATAGCTTTCCTCAGCAGTCCAATAGGCAGCCTATTTGTCTGAAATAAGAGATCAAAAGGTGGTCAGGGAATATAAAAATGTAAATATCTCATACTTGCTTTATTTTATTGAAAGGTGGAAATTAATGACAACTTAAATTTAACCCATATAATTCAAAGCCATTGGTTAGTGGCTTAGTTATTATGTTTCTACAACAGGTGAAAATATCTGAATATCCAGGGGCTAGCATGAATTCATGAAAATGGAGTTTAGTAAAGGTTTCCTCTACAAGTGCAGTTCTCTGGGATGGACTACATTGTTTTGATGGAGGTGATGTTTCACAAAGATGTAGGTACAGGCTTTTGAGTCACTTCAGTCTCTTCCTGCAAAATTTAGCTGACCTAAACATCATAACACTCATGCAGAAATCTTAATTATCAAGTGATCTTCTCTAGTAAATGCAACCCTCATACTATTTGCTGCAAAGTAAACAAAGCTAATTGAAATAAGTAGCAGTAGATATGTCTTGTCCTTCTAAGAATAATCAAATGCATGTTTCCTTGACTTGCTCTACCATAAACACTTCAGTATAGTGAAGGAAAGTTCTCTTTCACATAATAATCTAGTTATTAGGATTTCTTTTCTAGAGGGAAAAAGAAGAAACCTAAACCCCTACTTACTACATTCTTTCTCTTTTTTTTTGTTTTGTTTCTTTTTGTTTTTCTAATCTATGGAAACCATGTTAGCAAAGTTCTTTCCTGGTGTTAGCAATTTGTACTGTATCTTTTCAAGATGCTAGTTGTAGAATGTCATGCATTCATTTTTAAACAGTTTTGGTCTCTGATATGAATGAAGCATAGAACAGACAAATGTCAATGGAGGTTTAGTAGCTTACTTTCCACTTTTCCTTCTTTCTCTTCATTTTTCTTATTGTCACTGTGGGAGCAAAGGGGGATCTCATGTTCACAGCTTTGTCACTGAGCTTTCAGAGCTGGCACTACCTGCGCTAGTGGTTTTGTCATCTCTTTGAAGTCGGGAAAGATAGACACCAGTGGAGTATAGATATTGTTGGAAACAGGTCAGAGGTTGAAGCTGTTTTAAAATCACCATCACAACCTTGTACGATTTATCTGTCCTGAACCTACTTCTGGTGAGCATCCAGGTTTGGTATAGGTTCCTCTCCTCACTGTTCTACAAAAAAATTCCTCCTGTGTCCGTTAGACACTAGTGTCAGATCCATGGTAGGTCAGGCTATTCATTGGAGATATTAATAGAGAAATTGCAAACTGGGTTGGTTTAGGGTGCCCACCTAACATGAATTCATGGATTCCAACAGCTTCCTTTTCCTAGCAGGATTTTGCTGAAACAGCTGATGCTTGTGACTCTTGCTGTATGACACTGGTTCTGAATTTCTTATTAGAATACCCTTTATCTTCTTGGCACCCCATTGTCGGGATAAGGTGGATTTGTATAAGACCTCTCTGCATCAGTAATATTTATTATCAGAACATGCTACATGACCTTATATTACCATGTTTATCAATCTCCTTATAACTATTTTAAAATTAAATTTTAACTGCCTTGCCATTAGCCCCCAAGCTTTTTTTTTTCCATTTGTTTTACTGTTGATGGAAAAAAAAACTGACTGGTTTCTTTTTCTTCTTTTCAAAACATCCTAAAGGAAACTAGCCAAGAAGCAGAAAGAGACTCAGAGCAGCACCCAGAGAGAGATGGGCCCTGTTGCTACTTCAGATAAGACCTCCACCAAACTCAGTGCAGTCCACAATGAAGAAGCATTTTCAGCCAGCTGCCAAGATGTTAATGGATTCAGTAAGTTTCACTTGTTTGCAATGGATACCTCCCTTTTCAAGATCTTCAGATACTTAAAAGGATTTATTCCCATGGGCACAACATTTAAGCATTAGTTATAAAACTACTGCAGTTAATGCAGGGAAGCTAAGAGAGTATGAAGTCTGAAATTTCCCTGTGAGTGTCCCAAGTCAGTCATTGGACAGATTCAGAGGACTCTGTCCAAGTCTAAATCTATTTGAAAGAATGTATTATAAGGTAGAGTTATATAATTATACCATATGATCAATAGGTAATTTACTGTTGAGGTCAAATCCCCAAGTGGACTTCTGTGAGTGAAAGAATTTATGGTGCACTCAGCTGTTATGGAAAAAAGGATGGTTTTGTGGTTGGAAGGCTAAATTGGGACAAAGGAAGCCTAGGTTTTTCACTCTTGTGTCTGTTAACTCATTTCAGTTATTTTTTATAAAAGATGCTGAGCTCTTCAGCAATGTATTATGAGGAAATACTTTTCAGCAGCAACAGTTGCTGGTGACTCTCACACTGGAACTGAAATGTCTTTATGTTAATAAGTTTTTCAGTTATGGTTGCCATGAATTTCATTCAAAGCCTTTTGCCTTCAGTTTGAATTGTGCCCAGGTTTGAGACCCAAGTGCTTTCTAAAACTGTCCAATAACTCCTTAGTAATCTTCATGAAATCTTTAATGGTTTCTGTCTAAGTCTTAGGTAACGGGTGTCCATGTTACAAAACATGTCTCTATGGCTGAAACCCTTCTTTGCAGTCTCAGATTGAACAGGCTGAGCTGTAGCTTGACCCAAATCTGCAGACCGTTCCTGTCAATTCCCAGAATCTGCCTGCATAGAAACATACCTATGGGAGGGATAAACAGAATTTGGCCATCAAGGTTTAGCACTGCAAAAGTTCCCTCCCATACTAAATACCTTTGGCTGCATCCAGACGAGCACAACCATGTGGTACATGGTGCCACAGACCCATCTACAGTGCCATGCACCGCACATTCAAGCATTTCCCATGCTGCTACCTTGCAGCACAGGGGCAGGGTTTTGACTCTGGGAGATCCCAGGCTCAAAAAACCCGTGAGGAGAAAAAGAGGGACTGCGCACATGGCATAGTGCTCACTGTCCAAAACTGGAGCATGGCTCACCGAAGCCATGCTCAGGCTGCTGGCTGGGCTCCAAGCTGCAGGAGCACTGTAGCTGCAGTTTTCCTGGCCCCCAGGACCCCAGGTAAGGCTGCTGAGGCTGCTGGTGTACTGCTGCTTCTTGTCTCTGGAGAACCAAACATCCATGCTCATCTGGATGCAGGCCTTGAGTGTATTTAGGCCCTGATTTTTCAAAGGTATACAGTTTTGCATTCCACATTCAAGTCAATTGCAGCAAATACCTTTGAAAAATCAGGCAAGTAGAGAAATAATATGGTTATAGGCATTTTAAGAATAGCTAAGATAGATGGTATAAATAGTACAAGATGCTTAAGAGTTCTTTTAATGCTTCCTCCACAGTTTTGAAGCTTAAAACCTATTTCCAGTCAGGAAATGAAATATGCTATGAAATGAGCCTGTAATATGGTCTCATCAGTTTTCAGTATTTTGAAAGAGCAATTAAAACAACTGAATCATTTGCTTGAAGATATAGCTGTGGAAAATATACTGTAACTAATTTTGCAAAAAGCATTCCTAAGGATTTTTATCACTTACACTTATAATAACTTGGTCGTCTAGTTGTCTGACACTACTAAAGATTTAGTTAATACTTTTCTGATGCAGTCCACTGTAAATCATAGCTGGATGTTTTATACCCATCAAAAATAATTACCAGTAAGGGGCACATAATTTCTACACACACTTTTTTTTTTTTTTTTTTTTGCCAAATCCAATACATTAAGTTATTGGAGATATGATGTGTTTTATAGACTAGGATGCCCCTGCTCACATAAGTATTTTATAGGTTTGGCTGTGAAGTTATGGATAAGAATAATAATCCTTTCAAAAATCTCCTTAATGAAAGCTAATATGGAGAGACACCTGTAAATGCTTAACCTAAATCATGGTAAATGTAAAACAGCACAAATAGGATTTACACTGCCCTTCTCATAATGAATATAGATCCACTCTTGCTTTCCCCCTTCTATTTTTTTTCTTTTTTTGCCAAAAAGAATGGCTATATATATTTTATGGTAGGTTGTAGGGCTGTGCGAAGCTTTGGTCACTGATTTGATTCAGCCCGATGTAGCAGCCAAATTTCCAAATCTGAATCGAACCAGGAGACCCTTTAATCTCTCCAGATCAAATCAGAACCCTCCGAATCAATTTGGAAAGATTCAATGGTTCGGACATGGACACAGCTCTAAATATTTTTTCTACATATGTCAAGGTACCAGGCAGCTCATGAATGCTGAGATGCTGGAGCATCCCATAACAGCCCAGGGGCGAGGGGGGGTCCCCAGTGCGCTTGGCAGTGGACCCAGAAGTGGACCAGAAGTGCTTCTGGTCCACTTCTGGGTGCACGGGAGCACATGTGGGACCCCTACCCCCCAGCCTGGTGACTGGTGCCTTCTGGATCTAGTGGGGCACCTGGGTTTCCCCTGTGGCTAATCGCCAAGCTGGGGGAATGTGAGGGAGGGGGCATTCCCCTTGCACTCAGTGGTAGACCTGGAAGTGGACCAGAAGTACTTCCAGTCAACTTCCAGGTTCGTCACTGAGCATATGGGGGGGAGCTCCTGCTCCTGCGGGACACTCCATCCACCCCAGCATCGCAGCATTCATGAGCCGCACTGGTACCTTGAGGTCTGTAGAAATCTGTAGAAAAAACTTTTAAAGCTGTGTCTGTGGCCAAATTGCTGATTCTCTGAATCAACATCAAATCTTCAGATTCAGATTTGGCCCAATTAAATTGGGACAGTGATCTGAATCAACTAATCAAATCACTGCCCCCGGTTCAGGCCGAATCCAAATTGAACCCAGCCCATTTCGCCGAGTAGGTAGCCATGTGATTTGTTTGGATGTCCTGTGAATAGATGGGCCCTGCTCAATGACGTGTGTCTTTAAGGTACAGACCGTGGTTTTCCAAGGCAGATACAAAAGATTTATCCCCAACATGTTCATGGAAGCTGTGATATTACTGCATGTAATTCTGGTAATTGTGTGTCTGCGTGGGTAGTCAGGCTTGCAGTTGTCCAATCTGCTTGCAAAAGTTGGGGTTATTTTAGAAAAAATGGAGTGGACAAGGCAATTATAGAAGTATTGTTGCTCCTTCCTCCTTTTAAATTTGGCTTGAAGTATCATTCTTCAGTTTGAGTTTCCTTGCATCTGTCATTTTAAGTCTGAATCTTCTTTTCATTAACATAAAAAAGGATTAAATCTATCCTTATGCAAGGTCAAGCTAATAATCCACTGAACATGTCAGATATTAAACTGATTCTACACTTGACTGTGGGTAACAGGCTCACTGCCTCCCCACATCTCTACTACAACATTTATGCTGCCACACTTTTTTGGCCTTACCTAGAAAGCCAGCGGAATGCCATGATGTATTTGGCTTTGTAAGTCTGGCATTTTGTGCAGCCGCAAAGTAGTAGCTTGTTTTGAATTTGAGTGTGTAGTCCAGATCATTTCATCTGATTCAGTCAATGAAGGTGAACCAACTTCTGTTGCTTTCAGCTACCTGCCAGTATATACATTCCCCCTTTCCCATTCTCAGTACTCCTAGATGCACACATTTATAAAGTTCTGGTATAATATTTGTACAAATGAGCTCTTCTCTAAAATGCTGGTTTCACACAGGGGCAAGTGTGTTTTCTTAAGCATCTATATTCTTCAGACAGATCTTAGCCCTGTGCACTAAGCAAGTGTAAAGCTCATACACTGCTTCAGGAATGCATTGGCTATTGGTCTATTGGCACAGGACTGCATTTCACCCGTGGATGCAGATGTTTGTACTCCCTTATTATCAATAATTGTATTTCAGTAAGAGCAATAAGCCTTGGGTTGGAAGTGTAGTTGAAAGAGGAGCAGAAGATGAGCTCTTATTATCAGGTCAGATCTTTGGTTCCTTAATCACATTTTTCCTCACAAAGCCTTTATTCAGGCAAAATTACCATTGATGTTAATAGGAGTTTTGCCTGGGCACGTTGATGGAATTAACTTGTTCAACATGCCACTGCATTATTCTGCCTGTTTTAGTTGTATGCTGTTATGCAGAGGTGAAACTGCCCTATTGTCTTCTATTTATTACCTAAATGTAAAGGGAAAGTTATGTGTTAATGGTGACATCTATTATTATAATTTAAGACTCTGCCTTGCTATGAAAAAGCTCTAGAAAGACAATGACATTTCCCACCGTGTGACACTGCACAACTTTCTACAGGCGCTAGCTCAATGAGGGAGCATTACTGAAAAGAAGTGACAAAGAATGGACATGGTTGGAGCTAAAATTATCCAAGTAGCATCTGTGAAGTGTCCGATAAGGTGCACACATGGTTGTTATTGCAAGTAAATCTCCTGTAGTCTGGCAGACCGTAAGTGTGACAGGCCATAGAGGGGAAAAGCAGTAGTACATCATCTGAACAATGATACACTAATGATGTGTCTTGCGCAGAGGCACCATTTTCCTGACACCACGATGATGAAATACCACGCAAAGGTCCATAGATAATGCAGGCCTGGCAGGGCCGATCCAAAGGAGAATGCTACATTACCAGTGTAGCGAGCTTGACACCTTCAACTCCTGCTTGGCAGGAGCTGTTTTATTCAGAGGATGTGGATGGTTTGAGAAGGCCAATTTGTTAAGAATAATTTGGAAACTAACCACATTCATTTAAATCATAAGGCTTTAAAACTGGATGGGGCAGGTAGGGAGCAGTCAGTTTGCACTGAGGAACATTGCTGGGCAGTTGCCAAGTTACTCTGCCTGCTGACAGAAGGAATGCTTAGAGTGGAGCAGGTAAGTAAGTGTCCAAGTGGTGAAGGATCATCCCTGACCACAGTTCACCAAAACTGTGCCCATGCTCTATTCACTCTTCACGTATTCCTTCCTCTGAGCACTAGCATTTGCCATCATTCAGACTAGATAGGTACCTCAAGATAGATCATTCAAGAGCTAATTCTTATTTATGGTGTGTGTAGTTTCCACTTCCCATGGGATGTATGCCCTGAGGCACTCATTATTGGGACTTTTTGGATCTTCATCATGAGATCTTTTTTAGGTGAAAAATTATGAAATAATAATAAAGCTCAGTGTTCTTGAAGCCAGGGAGGAGATAGAAGAAAACCCAGAGTGAAAGGGCACTGCCAGGTTTAAAGAAAGCATAATATCATCTGTCTTTTAAGATTTTTCCTCACTGTTCTGGAAAAGCTTGTCACCTTTGGCCAAGATTTTAAATACCTGTGCAGTGAGAGTGATATCAGCCTCTGTACAGGGATTCAGCAGCCCAGACATGACATAGAGCAATACTTAAGATGTTCATGAACTTTGTTCTGGCATGCTATGCTGGACTGAAATTTGCTCTGCCTTGGCCTCATACAAGTATGTATATATTCATTGTGCTTGTAAAATGCTTTCCTTCTAAATGGGTAATTGCGCACACAGTTTTCTGGTCGTGCAAGTCTCTATCTGACCAATTTATACAAATGCACAAGTGTTTTCTACTGTTTTTCCATATGGAGAGATCTTTGAAAATCTGGCCTATTGGTTTTTCTGCCAAACAAATATTCTAATATTCACTTCCCTTTCTTACATCTCTAGTCCATTCCACTACAATAGAGACGAATGAGCAATATTTTTATTAAATTGCTTGAAGTATTTGTAGAACACCTACTTGCTGATGCATTATTACTTTATATAAAGACCTTATTCCAATGCACTGTAAGCCAGTGGTTATACTTAAAATACTGCGTCCCAGGAAAGCATAGCTCTGCTTCTAACTCGCTGTGTGACCGTGATCAATTAACCTTGTTCACTTCAGGTTACCCATCTCTAGAAGTAGATGCCACTACAAGGCATGGGCATTAATAGGGTTAACAGAACAAGGCAAGGGGACTCCCCCCAAAATAGGAGATGCATCCTGTTTTAAAGGCAGCTGAGAGAGAAATCAAGCAGACCTGTTTGTGAGACAGCTGATATTAACTTTTTGTAATGTCAACTGTATTCTGTAAGCTGCAGATGGGAGTGAAAACATGGCAAAAGAAAAGTGTTTATACTGGAAGAGATCTAAGTGCATTTATTGGGTGCTGTAAACTCCTTAGAGAGCAGTTCTGCTGACTTTATGGCATTCCAGGGAAACTCTCTAAACTAGTGAATGCTTTTCCTCATTCCTTAGAATAATTTTAACTTGGTAAGTAATGCTTACTCCTAGAAGTAGAGCAGTTGCTTCTGAAATTGCTTTGATCTATATTGAATTTTGTCTAATTTTTATTGGATTCTGGAATAGTTTCTTCTTTTTACCTATTGCTATCATTCTGATGTACTGAGCTTTTTGTATTAGTGTTTCTCATCGTGCTGTGAAGGTGGTAAGTAAATTGTCAGTTTAGAAACAAATGCAAAATGATTATGAAAGAACATGTCCTCAGAAATGGTAGATTACCATGGCTATGTGCAAGTCATTCATTACATAAGGTAGCTCCATAAAAACCATGAATGTACCACATGGATGCTGATTCTGGCCCCTTCCTTCTCTGATACATTTTGACTATAAAGTAAATAATCTATGAGTCCTTGTCCCGGGAAATTACTCTATAGAGTGGGAGGAGATAGGATTGGCTTGTCCTTTCTAATCAGCCTGCCCCCCTTAAGTTGTTATCTGCATTGGAATAAAAGACCACATGTCACCCAGACTGTCCATTTTTAAAAGAACCATAAACGTGCATTGACACCATGTGTGTGGTATTAGATTTGCAGTAGACAAATAGGACACAGTTTGCACCCTGCCAAGCTATCCTTGGTCCCAAAATGCATGCTTTACAAGACACACTTTTAGGGTAAGTTCTTCTCTTGCTACCAAGCTGAGAGCCACATAAGAAACTTGACCTGTGGATAGAGCAGCAGCTTCTGACATATTCTGCCTTCGGGACATACTTAAGGTTCACCTCTCTCCAAAAGGTACTCCGTTAAAATTACCACCCCTCAATTCCCCTGCAAAAAAGCTGGCTTTCACGTGCTACTACTGTTTCTAGGCTTGAGTGTGAATATGTATTCTGCATTTGAGCACGTTTATTTTACTGTTATTACTCCACTCAGTTTCATATGGTTTGTATTTTGGTGCGTTGTTTTTAGGCATTTATCTTTCTGAGAGATAAAAATACAAGTTTGTCTCCTGTGTAAGACTAAACATAATCTCTAATTAAAAAGAAGGGGGCGCAAGGTGGGGGGTGTCTGCCTATCCCAAATATATCTCACAGTAGCAATAATACAGTGTTTTGGGACCTGGAGATTTTTTTTTATTAAAGCAAATACTGAATAATAGTAACATAATTTAATATGCATGTTCAGATGAAAAATGGTTTTCATTTTGGTATGCACTATATATTCCATATAACCATGTTCTTTTAGAAACTTTCTCCCTGTTCTTTCTCACACTTTATATGTGTCTAAAGTTTTTTCCTTATGTCTTTCCTACCTAGCATCATCCTCTCCTTGTTCATTTTCTGTCCAAAGCAAAACCCTTCAGAGCAAATCTTTGTTGAATTCCTACTACTCAGGTACTAGTGCCAGATTTTTATTTCTTTTTTTTATTTTATTTTTTTGCTTCTGTACATTTCCCAGTATGACATGTGGACTGAGTCATTTGAATGTTGGTTACAGCTAACCTTGTTTTCATTTTTTTTTGTAATTTTTTTTTCCTATTGATCTTCTGTTGATTTCCATTGATCCGTGTCGTGTGGGTGAACGAAATTCCATCTCAAAGTATCATCAGACACTGTTCCATCGACCACGCTGCTAGGTAAGCAGACAGGTATGGTGTATAATACTTCACTGGAGAGAGAAAGCATTTGTTGCATTTGAGAAATGACTCAAAGGAACATTGTCACTGTTATATTTGTTCTCATGTTCAAGGATCCTTTGGATTGCAAAGTCTTTGCTTTGAAAGTTCCACATTATTACTGAGGAAATTAAAGAAGTCTGTCTAGTGTATCCATAGAAACAAAACAAAAAAAATGACTTCCCCCTTGAAGCTGCTGTTTACCAATGAGCCAACATAACTGATGGTGTGAGTGCTTAGATAAAAAGTAGGCCAGAAGATCTTTATGAATTTCAAATCCATTCAAAAAAACCTCATTAAAAATCCTGAAAATGAACAGAATCTATCAGGCAGGAAATTTCCCTATTTTTCTAATGAAAGGAAATTAACATTAACAATTTTAAGAACTATGAGAAGTACTGGGCATGTCTTTCACAAATGGAATCCCTTCAGGTTCTGTGCACCGTTAGATTCATGTAAGTAATCATTTCTATGCAGGTGACGTAGGCATGTTTTGTGCATGAAGAAAAGATGTCTCTACCCCCTGACTTGTGGAAAAATAAGCATTTGGGCATGTCAAAACCGTTGGGAGGGACAAAATAGTATAAGTGCAAAAAGAACCATGATGGAATCAGAGACAGCTTCCAGAACATGACTGTTTCACGCTTGAGTACCCTAAGAGCTGTAAGACTACCAAGAAATCTCCCTTTTTAAAATGGAAGAAACACGGATGTTAATAGGAATTCAGTACAAAATGAATGTTGAGTATGCAATAGGAATCAACAGTGATCTTTGAGTAGAATTGCATTATTGAACTACAGAAAAAAAAAAGAAAATGGTAACTTTCTTTTCTGACAGAAGAGACTCTAAAGGCCAAAACTGTCCAGGTTGGATGCTCAATATTTGCTTTTCAAGTTAATCTTTAGGCCCCTGGATAAAACTAGCCTAATTGTTTATGGTGCTGTGTGTGTGTCACAACTCCTGTTTTGTTTAATGGAAGTTTTCAGTTTTCTACACTTCTGGAGAAAAAAACCCAACACTTTTATTCAGGTGTCTGAAAATAGATTTAAGCTGCAGGTCTCCCCCTTTGAAATGTGTCTTTCAAGCTTTATAAAGAATATGCTGTCCCACCAAGCTAACAGAGACACAGAAAGAGCAGAAACTTTTAAGATGGCAAAAGAAATGATTCAGAAACTTAGTAGAGGTGTACTCTTGAATATGAGCAATAACAGCTTACCAGTTTAGGATTTCCTTTGAGGATGCTTGCACTAGCTGTGTATAGAATATAAGAAAGGAAGTTCCCCAGCCATGAATGAAAAAGACAACATACAAATGATCAGAATCTAACCAGTGGTAATCATCAGACCTGTCATTTTGGATTATTTGCAGGAAATTTTCTCTTCCAGACAGTCATCTACTGCAACTACTTTAAACATTACCTTGAGTGGCTAGTAGCCTGGTAGTTAGTCCAAGAAGAAATTACAAACAAGCACATGAGCCTATTGGTTTTACCAATGAGTAGTAAGGAAACAGAGATAGGCCTGAAGGGACTGTTATAACACACACATTTATCCTGAAATCCATCAGAAGGCTGACCCTCTCTCAAGAGAGGTTTCATTCTTAAAGGAGAATGAGATCGATATTAGGCCTGTGCGAAGTGGCTAGTATTCACGTCAGATTGGGATTCGGCTGATTCGGGGGACAGTGATTTGAATCACTTTCCTGAATCGATCCAGCTGAATCAAACAGGCCCCATCCCCCGCCCACTCTCCCAGCCCCGTCAATAGGTACACTGCCCACCCCAGCATCCTGGCACTAAAAAAAAAAAAAAAGCCCCACACTCACCAGTTCCTGCCAGGCATGGCGGCAATCCCTGCTGCCCCGCACTGCCCTGCATTGCATGGGTACATGGGGAGGCTCTGCCATGAGCCCTCAGAGGCCCGGATGGCCACTACAGCAACTGCTGAGTGAGTGCGGGGCTTTATGTTTTTTTAAGTGCCAGGACATTGGGGCCAGGCAGGGCAGCCATTGGCGGGACTGGGAGAGCAGGTGGGGGTCGGGGAGTCACACTGGTTGAGCAGGCAGGGGACAGGGCCTGGCAGGGGTCCCTCCATGATCCGGCTCCCGGGTCCAGCTCCCCATGGCAGTAAGCGGGGACTGCCCGAATCTTCTCCAAATCTTTTCCAAATATATTTGGAGGCTTTGAATTGATTCAGACCTTTTAATTGGTCTCCCAATTCAATTCAGATTTGGAGATTTTGCCGCTGAATCTCCTCCAAATCAAATGAGCAACCAAAGCTTCACACAGCCCTAACTGTCAGATGTATCCATTTCCTGGTATGGTTGTATTTCTTGGTTTCCCAAAGAGGAATTTTTGTCTAAGGGCTAAATAGTACTCTATCTGTTAGGTGTTTGATTGTGTTCCAGGAAAAAAGTAATAATGCCCAGACTAACACACTATAATCTTAGTTTTAAGACTTTATCAGGGTAGAACAGGATCACACTTATGTGCTTAAGGCCACGTAGGTGCTTAATAAGTGTACTTGGACCTGATCCTAAATGTGAATTCCAGTTATCACTGTACTGCTTTCCTAAGTAGGCTCTACTCCTTCAATATGCTTGGAGGTACTGGTCAACCTCAGCTCCACACTCAATGTCTGTGAAAATCAAGGTTCCAGTTTGCTGGAGCTATTTTCATGCCTCTGTTGCAAGCAGTGAAGATAGTTGTGTTTACTCTTATTAATTTGAGGCTAAGGGATATATTCCATATGACTCGATCCAGGTCTCAAAAAAAGTCACCAAGTTTTTTTTTTTAAATCCAAATGTTGAAGGAGGGGATGGGGGGGGAAGCAATGGAGGGGCCTGAAAAAAGAAAAGAACTGATCTTTCACTAGTTCATTCAACTTTTAACTACTTCTAACAACCCAACCACCCCATCCCATTTCATAACTGTGAAACAGTGCAGGGAAAGCACTAAGGCATAATGTCAGCTCCAGCTGACATTAAGAGCTACAGGTGCTTGGTCCTTCTAAAAAGAAGCTCTCAGCAATTTGCTGGAGACTGCCTACTGAGTTTTGGACAAAAGTCAAACTCAAAATTGAGGAGCTGCTGGCTTCCTTGTGCTAGTCTCTAGAAACTGGACAACACTGCAGCTGGAAAAGAAGTTTGATTTCTTAAGTGTTATTAAAACTGGTTTGTATTAAAAAAGAAAAAGAGAGAGAGAAAAGAACATCATTCATCTCTCCACAAACATCTATCATCCAGCTCTACCTCCAGCTCTGCAGTATTTGTTCCCATCTGTTACACCTGCTAATAAATGTGCGGTATTTGTAACACTGGATGACTCACCCAGCTTGCCTGTGACGTGATTTGTTGAATAGAAAGACACAGGGGATGATGATTTTTTTTGCCCTCCATCCCACCCTTTGTTTGATTAATATTTTCTTATAATTCATTTGTTTAGCTGTTTAACTTTCTGCAACAGCATGAAACGGCCCTGAGATTGGACATTGTGCTGTGAGTGCTTTTGCTTTTACTAATGAATACTAAAATCACAAAAAGGCAAAAGAGGTCTTTGTCTTTCCTGTTTCATTGTAGCTAGAAAATTCCACTGTTAGGGGATGGTAAAGACTATGCTGTCTCGGGAGTTGATCTTGCAGGTACTGAGCATTGTGGGCATGTCCCAGAGCTCCTCAGCAAAAGGGGAAAGGGTAGAATTTCACAGGCTGCAGTATCTTCTTCCCTTTGCACCTAGTTACTCCTCTTGTGAGTCCATAAAGGCACTCGTCCTGGTTCTTATTTGCTCTTTTGTCTGCCTTATGGCATTGCTAGAAGGAGGCAGTCTCTGCCCTCAGGAGATCATAGGAGTAGTAACTGCTTTGTCCCTGAAGAGAAGAAATAGGCAGGAAAAGGCTCCTTCTGTTTTTCTTCCCTCTGTACACCCATGTACTTACTTAAGTGAAGAAATTTGCCCTGGATTTATGTGCCAGTAGCTTGTTGCACATACATAGTAAAACTGCCCAACATTTAACTATTGCATATGTCTGAGCAGTTAAGGTGACGTTGCTGAACTTATTGCATTAGTGAGTAGCAGCATTAGTGAAGGTTAGATTAGTTTTATAATTTTTAAAGAGAAGAGATTTAAAAATCAATGGCTTGATCTTCAGTCTCAGAGCAATGTTATCTGCAGTCTCAGTCCATGCCAGCCTCAGCTGAGCTGTGGCTGATGCGTCTGTGGCAGATAAATTTACTAAAGATCACCTGCATGGAATAAAAAAAAAGAGAGAGAATTGTGGTGTGTTAGGATGCAGAGGGATATTGTTTGCTGAGCTTCTCAAATGATGTGCCTGGAAGACTGGCTGCCTTGCTAGATGTGTTCAGGGAGTGTGGAAGACTTTCCCCTCCAGTGTTCAGTGGCTGAGGCGTAGCAGCAGTGTTTTGCTGCTAGGAGCAAAAATGGAAATATGAGACAACTGCGGTGGGGGGTGGGGACCTGGGTGTGTACACGGTTTTTAGGTCCAACACAATTTGTCACTTTAGTGGATGCAACCATTTGACACCCCTGAAAAATAAGTTTGACCAGCCTCATTTTTACAGGTGGGACTCTGAGGCATATATAAATCAGGGGCAGAGTTTTGGTTAGGACCCCAAAATCCCAAGTCCTAGTCTCTGAGGCAGTATATCCTCTCTCCCACAATTCCATTAGTTAGGGAAAATGGCAGAGGAACCATACAAAAAGCTTCTAATAAAATTAGAATACCCAGTTTTAAGTGCTTGCCAGAGAGTGGCAGTAGTGCTTTCAGTTCAAGGGGAAATTATTTTCTTCAGCCATGTTTTTGGCCATTGCTAGGGAGCCTGATTGGTACATGAAACACTGCTTCACTTCATTTCAATCAAAAGAAAGATGAATGAAAGATAACCTCCCCTGCTTGCAACTAATGTGGCTAGAAAATCAAACCATGAGTGGTCTGTTTGCTAGCCAA